AGATTGTCAGTCGCGAGTACGCAGGGCTTGGCATGCGAAGGAAAGGCGATTTGATGGTAGTGGCACTGACCCTGGACTACCGCAGGTCCAGTTGAACTAAGCAAATCCCAGCCCACACGACCTCACGACAAACCGACCCAGGGAGGCGCCTGAGAAGAAGCGTTCTCCACTGAGGTGACGATGCGTAGAACCAGTGACTTCGAAACCTCTCAAACATCTGCCAAACAACAGCGACAGGACAAGCATAAAACCAATTAATCAATCCAAGAGCGACTAGCTGAGCAAGTCATTTAAAGTTCTCATCGACTTTTGACTGGCCAAGCTCTTCGAAAGGCTAGGAGGAGTACAAATCTGTACGAGCGCAGAACTGCAGCTTTTCAAAGGTAATCTATAGGGGGCGATTAGTTAAAAAAAAACACCTGTAAACATGGAAATGGCGTTTCCGAGTGGAGATATTTAGTCACAAAATAATGTCTTGATTTAGTTGACCCATTCTGTGAAAGATTCGGTGGCCCCCGTGGGATTCAAACCCACGCCAGCAGGAGCAGGCTTGAGTATAGCAAACGCTCTAGCCACCTGAGTTCCACCGCAAATGTGCTTACCCCGTCCTGATAATATTTTCAGTTTCGCGGCAGAGCGTGCCAGCTTCCAGTGGGAAAAATGAGTCACACATTTCATGACGCAATGACTGGGTTGAGTGCCAAAACAACATAGACTCCAAAAAAACTGGGACCTTCAGGGTACAAGAACGCGCGTTCGACTGCCGTTAGCACAAACCAGTCACGTTGAGCTCTGATTGGTTAAGAGTTTGTTGTCGATAAATATCCTGTGGGGTGTCCTGCAGCATACAGAACTTGAAATATATGGGATGGCGTTGGCGGCTTGGTTTTTAATCTGAGATTTGCCACCGAACTACGTCAGGATGTACCGTCTGAACTTGCATAATCGTAAGTGGATCCTTCTCCTGGCAATACTGGCAGGCTTGAGAATACTAAGCGAGGTCTTCTTCTCAAGCCAGTGGATGCTGCACTTAGTCGAAATTGATGCTACTGAGGTTTCCTCAAGCCGATGCAAACTTCGATGGATAAATATCCCTGAACCAACTCCTGATGGTGTATACGATCTGAGTTTTCGCTACTGTGTCGACCTTATCATTCGAGTAACCAGACACACAACATTTCCCCTTGATCAGATCAGCAACAATGGCGGAGAGGGCAATGTGAGGTTTGAGGAAATGACCCAACTAAATGATGCCGACTGGAAGAGACCAATTAATCCGGGCGTCTACCTGCTATACCCACAGGGCATTGCCTTGCGGGAAGTCATAACGAACTACAGGGAAACCGGCCTGGTTCCTGAGGTTAGTAAATGCTTATTGTCAAAACTCATTGCGGCATAATGACGTCGACAACCCTTTTGATGAACAGAAGGTGATAGGGCGAGCTTCAATTGAATTGAGGAGACTCGTCCCCTCATAGTAATTTCCACCACACATGTTAGAGGGGAGAGGTATTTGTGTCCTTTTATTAATGGCTTAGGTGGAATTCCTCTAAAAAAAATTAAGTGGATTATATGTCGCATGAGAGGTCATCTTGAGCGCGTTTTCTATAAAAATGGCTACTTATGTAGTATGTATTTTTCTCATTAACTTTTACTGATCTTATTTTTAAACATAATTTGTAGAAAATATGTACAAACATAAATCTTCTTGTATTAAATTGGTAGGGATGTATGCCTTCTTCAAAGTACATATTTGAAAAACAAGCAATCGTTTGGTTTTCAAAAAGTTTCAGTATGCTTTCAGATCAGTGGTTTAAGATACCGGAGTTAGTTTGTCTTCCGAGCTTCGAACTTACTGACGGGAACCGGACAACCCCAGATATACCAATAGTGGAATCTAATTAAGCATCCTGGACTACAA